ATGAGTAATATATTACATTCTAACTAGCCCAACACTGGTGATCATATATTGTCTAATAACCATATCTCTTACATAATTCACCTGGAGTGTGTATGGGTTGCTGTACAGTATGACCTGTAAATGTAATATTGTTGTAATCATTATGGTGAGCATTTATTTCCTTTTAATTTAAAGTATGGTCATGTGATCTCATGACGCCACTCAAATCATGTAAAATAAAACAGCTTTCATTACGCTACTGAAATGACTAGACTCTTCTTGTGCGTTATTTGATTTAACCCTCTGGTGCTTCACAGTCAAAAGTGACCGGACACCAAAACATTTTATAGTCCCAAGTGTGACTTTTTTTTACTTTTTTTTTTTTTTTTTAGCCTGCTCGAATCATGCCATTTTTTGTGTGTGTTCACATTCCAAATGGCATAAAATTGACCAAGTTTCGTACCATTCTGATGAAGAGCACCAGAGGGTTAAAAAAAATGAAAACATAAAAAACCCCATGAATTTCTTTGTGTTAGTTATTTTCTTTTTATCAAGAAATAAGTTACTGATACTGCACCTTTAAAAGAAAAAACCATGCAGCCCACGGTTTTTCTTTTAGCGTACCATGGAAGCGGGTGTTTAATAGGGGAAGGAGTCAACGCCCTGCTGTAGCGCAAATTAAGCTGATGTTGCTAGGGTGTGGTTCTGTGAGTATAAATACAGCTATCACGCTCCTTCTGCTCGCTTGCTGTGCATTCGGTCTTGGTAAGTGGGAAACTGGGATTTTCTTTACTTCTTACACGTTGTCTAACTCTCGACAGTGCTGTCAGTTTTTTTGTTAAATATATAATTGTTGCATATTCATGACAGCGTTGTTTTTTTTAGTTTACTGAAAAAAATGCAAATGATAATAAAAAATAAAAAAAAGTTGCTAATGAAAGTTATGCAATAGTATTGCTTAAAGAAGTTATAGAAAACTTTGCACACTCTTGAGCTATAAAAATCCACATCCTGGTTTTGTGAGTTTAACGTTCAGTTCTTTTGGTGAATCATGTATTCCTGTAAGATTAATTAAAACGGCTAGAAAACTTGGATGATTCATTCCTGAAAAGATTCTGCTTTTTGATTTACTGTGTGTATTTTAATATATTCCAACATGTATAGTAGGTTGAGCTGTTGAGTTCCAGGTTCCAAAATGTCCACACTCGGTTATTTTCTTGAGCAGCTTTCCTATCAGGGCATGCAAGACAACACAGTACAAGACATCACAGTAAGTTTATTCCGCTTTCTGGAAAATTTGAGCAGAGCCAGACTGAATGAGTCAGTGATAGGAATGTACTCCACTCCCCATTCCAGTCACTTTCATCCTGTTAAAGGGCAAGAGCTTCAGTATTTCTGTTTCCTTCCTAAAATTTGCTTCTTGAATTTTTTATTGAATAGACTTCTTACACGGGTCTGCTGGAAGTCAGTTCGTGATTATACGTAGTCTATTTTTGAAGGATTTTAATAAGCCCTCTCATGTCTTTAGGTGGGGCAGGGCACAGTGAGGCCTTTTGCTCAGTTTAATGCAGCTGCGGATGCAGGCGTCTTGGACAAGGCTATCAAGACAAAAGGTAGGTATATGAATTCTGAAAAGTGAAGATGAATAAAATACATCTACATCTTTGCATTCTGCATCTGTTTGCTCTGTTGAAAGAAGTTTCTGTTCTCAGGTGTGGATGAGGCCACAATCATTGAAACGCTGGTCCGCAGGAGCAATGCCCAGCGCCAGCAAATCAAGGCTGCTTACCAACAAGTAAACGGCAAGGTATCACATTCACTAGACCTGATATCAACACATTTTTACTGTCTGGATCCTCCCTCACCTAAATCACTTCTTCTTCTCTGTGCAGCCTCTGGATGTAGCGCTGAAAGCTGCTCTTAAAGGTGAGCTGGAAGAAGTGGTTCTGGGCTTGTTGATGACTCCAGCTCAATATGATTCCTTTCTGCTCAAAAGTGCCATGAAGGTAAGATTATTTTCAGCCTGTTGATATAGAAGATTTGACATGGGCTGCATAACTTAAAGTCTTTTTCTCTTCAGGGTTTGGGCACAGATGAAGATACACTTGTTGAGATTTTGGCCTCCAGGACCAATAAAGAGATCCGAGAGATTAAACCGGTTTTCAAACAAGGTAACATTAATGCTAGTTATCATCCAGTTATCCTTTAAATATGTTTATGGCATGAGTGTCCAATCTTGCTTCTGTAGGGCCAACAGCCTGCAGAGTTTAGCCCTAACATGCTTTAACACACCTGCCAGGAAGTTTCTAGTAATCCTGAAGATCTTGCTTGGCTGGTTTAGGTGTGTTTAATTAGGGTTTAAACTAAACTCTGCAGGACACTGGGCCCCCCAAGAGCAGGATTGGACACTCGTGGTTTATGGTACGTATGTGAATGCAGTATATATAAAAACTGAATGTATGACTTGTATTTATAGAATATAAGAAGGATCTAGAGGCAGAGATCAAGTCTGAGACAGGTGGAGATTTCAGGAATGCCCTGCTTTCACTCTGCAAGGTTGGCTTTGCTCATATAGTGTTTCTCAATTCTGCCCCTCCCCGTACATCATGTTTTGGATGATTCAACTTACATGGAGAGTGATTTGTGACTTGAATTGGCACAAAATGCTTTTGCTCATTGTTAAACTTTTATTTGAATTCACAGGCTACCAGAAGTGAAGACAAGATTGTGCAAGAGGACTTGGCTGACAAAGATGCCAGGGTAATTAACCGTGTATTGTGAGTATGTGGTGGGTCATTGTGTGTACATGTCTTTTTGACCTCTGATTCTGCCTGTAGGCCTTGTATGAGGCAGGAGAGAAAAGAAAAGGCACAGACTGTGGCGTGTTCATTGACATCCTCACTTCAAGGAATGCTTGTCACCTGAGGAGAGGTATGGTTGACTTCCTCCACATCCCTGTTTTAATAAGTAGTACACTTTCTTCTAATCCACTTTAGTCATAACCTTTTCTTTATTTAGTTTTTCAGCTGTACTCCAAGTACAGTAAGGTGGATGTCGCAAAAGCCATTGATCTGGAGTTGAAGGGTGATATTGAGAACTGCTTGATTTCTGTTGGTGAGACACTGAACCCTTTTTATCTGTCTATTGCATTACATGCTGCATTTTAAGATGGTATGACATGCAATAAGTTCACTGCAAACTTTTCCTTGAATTGCTGCAGATGCTCTCTTAGATGTACCATACCTTTTAAGACTTGAATTACTTTCTTACAGTACAACAAGAATGCTATTTTAATGTTTCTTTTTACTGCATGCAATAATATGACAAGAATGTTATTTTAAGCTTTGAGCAATGAAACAGAAGCTGGTCTTTGAATGCCATTTTCAAAATAAATATTTTAATCTTTTCTTATTGTGACTCATCTTTTCAACAGTGAAATGTGCTGGAAACAAACCTGCTTTCTTTGCTGAAAAACTAAACCAGGCAATGAAGGCAAGTGTAACTGGCAATCTAATAGATCCATGTAAAATTTAAAATGACATTACAGCCGTTTTAAATATATCACGGTTAAAAACTAAAAGAACCACTCAGTGTGATTTTGTGTTTTCACAGGGCTCTGGTTATAAAGGCAAGATCTTGACCAGAATATTGGTGAGCCGTTCTGAGATTGACTTGGCCAAAATCAAGCAAGAGTACCAGAGTAAATTTGGCAAGAGCCTCTACCAGGACATCCAGGTAAATAAATCTAATTTAGCACATTTTAAATATGGTCATCATTACACTAGTCAATACATAAACAAAAATTAATAAATGTTATACTGTATAGATTCAGTTATTAAAGATTGTGTTTTGTTTGTTTTAGGATGACACCAAAGGAGACTATGAGACAATCCTGCTAGCCTTGTGTGGCAATTAATTGGTGTCACTAATGAATGTATACAGATGAAGACCCACCAGCATACCACTAGCTATCAATATATGAATTAAACACCTCATATAAACAACTGTAGTAGAATGAGAAACATTTCTGATAAATAAAACTTGACTAAATGTATATGTCTGTGTAAATTCATGCAAAGCTTCTAAAGTGGCGTGTTATGAATGGTGTATCTATTAATTTTAATTAAGTCATGTTGACTCTGAAAAAACAAACAAAAGCATGCACAAAATGGAAGTTTAATGACTCTGTGGTCATAGATATGAAGGGGATCACATATGCACAAATAATCACTAAGAGTTTTACTGGTTGGAATTAGGGATGGAAACTCAAGTCACAAAAGAAGGACTTGTTTTGTTCACTGGGCTCTAATTTGTAAACCAACTGAAGTTTTCGAGGTGCCTTTAAAGGGTGCTCCAGCAGGTTCTGCAAAGTGTGGCAATCTGAGGAACCCCAATTGGTCCTCAAAAATCTTATAATTTTTATATTTGATACGGCTTTTATATTAGAGAGTGATGAGACTACTCTTGTCATAAATACAAAGCGCCTGTTGATTAGGTATTAACCAAGGGAAAATGTGCATAAAAGTTTGTGGTTTTTAAGTGAACATTCGCCTGTTTGCTGGCGTATATTAAATATGAATTTTAAAAAACGATTAATTGCAAATGTAAATCATATCATAATGACCATTTGATTAAAGTAAAAGCTATATTTCTTTTGGATAAAGATGTCTTTATGTTTATCAAGGAAATCCATTGATAACTAATAAAAAAAAACATTTACCCTGTAACAGGGTTTATACACTTACCTGCAGTGTATACAAACATTTACCACAAAATATTCAGGATGACAGAAGACAAATTACGACTTGGACTGTTTGTCAGAAACATGTTTCACTGGAACAATGGGAGTGGTAGGAAAAGAGATAAAGTGGGAGATTTAAGAGTGAGGGCATGCTATCTTTACATCACTTACTCCATGGCCTAGACTTGCCGTCATTCCTGCCCTACGCTGCAGTACCGTTGTTATGACGGGTGGCGCTGTTGATTTATTGGCTGTGAGCGGCGCTCTCGAGGACTGTATGGTGATTGGTTGAAAGTGTGCGTTACGTCAAGCGCTCCCGCGGAAGTACCAAGGATTGGAAAATAGAGGTTATGCTGCATAGAGCACAGCGGGTGAAGGAGACATTTACCTGTAAATACAGTAAGGTATTTGCTGTACTTGAATTGTGTTATTTGTGCATTTCAATATACATAGTTTCTGTCGTTCTTAATCCTAATTGTAAGTCTCCCTCAAGTAGAACATGTTGTGACAGAATGGACTGTTTATGACTAAATGAAATCGTTCTTGAATATTTAATTCTCTAATATTTATATTTTAGTGTCTAGCAGTTTGCAGAATGTATATGAAACGTATCTAATGAGACTTGCATTAGTTATATCAGTTAAATCCAGCTGTCATGACTCATGAATAAATGACACTGTGCTATGAATGAATGAACCACTCAGCACTCTTTGCAATGCTAGTTTGTGTTTTTAAGGTAAGACACTACTGGCAAAACCATTGTTTTTTCATGCGCTTGTCAGTTAAAGATTTTGGTCTATTTTGATTCCATAACATGTCTTTCAAACTAGTGGAAACTAAACATCCAAGATAGATATGTTTATTTTATGACACTTTTTTTTTTTACACTTTTTATTTTATTACTCATCTATTTGCATCTGATTTCAAATACAATATATTTAAAAGGCATTTTCTCAAAGTGAGTTCAAAGTGAGTTTTTTTTTCTCATGCAGAAATAAGAGAAATAAATTGTCAGAAATATTCCATTCAATAGTACTTCCGTACATCAAACTTTCCAGTTTTATTCCTATCATTTTTTTAAGGATTTTATTTGTTTCTGGGTGTTGACAATATCTCCTGATTCATGGAGTGATTAAAAAAAAGACACCCCAACAAATATCCTCTATAAAAACCCTTAACTCTTAATATGTCAACAAAATGAAAGGAGGATCTTTGAAAACCTGGCTTTATTCTGTTCTAGAAATCTATGCAAATGTGTGCACATTTAATTAGATACGATTGTTTAAACATCATAACATGTCAGAAAACTTGTAATACAATTGTTTTAATGTACTGTAATCAGTCAACTGAGAAAGTATGATGTTATATAATAGTTAAAAATGTCACTGTATTTAGTTGTGATGTCTTGTCTTGAATAGAAACCATTATGACAAGTCCATGTCAAACACTATGTCAAACACTATACTTGTGTTGCTTACAGAATACAGCCATGAGCTGAGGCTCCCCAAACCCGCCTTTCTCAATGATGAACGACAAACTGGTGTTCCTGGGTCTCCTTTACTTCATCCAGGGCATTCCGTATGGCCTGCAGTCTTCTTTGCTCCCGGTGTACCTGCGCGGTGCCGGCCACTCCCTCACACGCATCAGCCTCACCAAAATCCTCTATTTCCCCTGGGTGCTCAAGGTAATCTGGGCCCCTCTGGTGGACCGGACTGGCACCAAGCGCTGCTGGTTAGTGGGCACAGTGGCTGGTCTGGCTCTCACCTGTTTGGTGAGCGCTACAATCTCACCTGATGTTCAGTACATGGGCGTAGCGGGCTCTCTGCTCGCTATGAACGTGCTGGCATCAGTGCAGGACATTGCGGCGGACGGAGCGGCCGTGCGGCTGCTCAGGGGGCAGGGGGAGCTGGGTCTGGGAAACACTGTGCAGGTGGTGGGGTATAAAGCTGGCTCTGTGTTTGCTGGAGGGGGGCTCCTGGCTGTGATTGATGTTGCAGGCTGGGGCTGGATGTTCGCACTGCTGGCCTGTGTTTACGGTGGTGTTGCTCTGTTCGTGTGGGGCGCCCCGGTGTTGGATGGAGAGTCGGTGTGGGGACAGGGAGAAGGACGGAGAGGGTCAAAGGATGTAATGCAACCCTGGAAGGTGTGGAGGAAGCTCTTGTCTGTGCCAGGAACGCCATGGATGATGTTCTACGTTCTCACATACAAGCTAGGTAAGATATTTGTCGTAATTCAACATAAGATCGATTGAGTTAAATGATTTGGAGATCTTAAAGGAACACTCCACTATTTTTGAAAATAGGCCAACTATTTTCACAACATTTTCCAACTCCCCTAGAGTTAAACAGTTGAGTTTTACTGTTTTCGAATCCATTCAGCCGATCTTCGGGTTTGGCGGTAGCACTTTTAGCTGTAGCTTAGCATAGATCATTGAATCTGATTAGACCGTTAGCATCTCGCTCAAAAATGACCAAAGAGTTTCTATATTTTTCCTATTTAAAACTGCAGCAGGCGCAATGATATTACGCAGCGCCTGAAAATAGTCCCCAGCACGCTCCCTGTGCAAGCAGGTGGTCACGTTGGTTATGTTGACGGAAGTAAGCCTGTTTTCAGGTGCTGCGTAATATCATTGCGCCTGCTGCACCCACGGTACGGCAGCAAAGTTCCTTGATTATTACGC